TTTTTTTTTTTAAGTGCCTAGTAGTCATATCCTAAGTGCCTAGTAGTCATATAATATCGCATCTAACTGCCGGGTGCGACACGGATAGCTCATAGTATGCTCATAGCCGCCACTAGGTGGAGCCACCGGAAGTCGTGTATGGTTACCGCCGTACCGCCGTACCTTGTCCTTAGTTTTTCTTTTCACCCTGGGTCCCACGTTGTCGTCTCGTTATCATCTCGTCAGCGTGGTGCGTTATCACATAAATTAAACTAGACCGGTGACGCTACCTATATTTAGGCCATATAGCCGCTGTTTACTGTTACGGTCGACGGATCGCTTTTCGTTAGAGAGGTTATAGAGACTAAGAGAGGACATGGCAGTATTTTGTTTTGGAACCTTGAGGCATTTTCAAGCTTTATCATCGTTGAAAGGTATTCAAATTTATTCACTCGTAAACAATTCTTTTCGTAAAATTTGTTATGTTAAGCTTCCTTACAAATACTAGTTATCTAAGTACCTAGATAGTAGATAGATTATAAATACCACTCGCATGCCATATTATATACGCATCACATTCATTGTTGTGCGAGTACTTTCAACTTTGTACTGTATAACTGTAAGTGTAAGTGACAAGTGTAGGCCTAGTAGTAGTACGCCAGCATACTCGCAGCTAGGACCTGCATACCTCCCAAATTGACGCGTCGTCGACCGACCAATCGGAGAGCTCGCAGCTCCTCCCAAAGTGACGCGTCATGAACCGACCAATCGGAGCGCTCGCAGCTCAGGCACTAAAGGTGATGCGATGTTTTGTGGTTTTGTGTTTTGTGGTGCTGGCTATCGTGAGTGGATGGTTACTGGTAAGGGTTAGGGTTAGGGTTTAGCTTTATATTTATCAGCTTTAGTGCCTGAGCTGCGGGCGCTCCGATTGGTCGGTCAACGACGAGTCACTTTGGGAGGTATGCAGGCCCTAGCTGCGAGTCGCCAGCATGTCCACACTACACTTTACAGTCTATAATCTGTAGACAGGTCGGTCTAATGCATGCACCACCAGTCACAGGCACTTGAAGCGTTTCAATAAAATATAATGCTAACTAAATATGAAATCTATTTACTACCAAATTCTTAATGTTTCTATACTCTCTTTCACCTATTATTGCCGACAGTTTCCTGTAAAATCCTACGTGCAACAATATACGCTGCCGGCGCCATTGCTCTCGTGACTCCATTGTTGCACGCTTACACTAATATATATAGCAGCAGGCTTCTCCCTACGTTGCGCAAACCGGGCGCGCAGCCCCGTTTGGGAAAACTCCCCCCGTTTCAATCGTTGCGCTACGTTTAAATTATTTCCGCCCCAATTAAAAATTTTTTTTAATGGGAATGCCTACATGAGGAACAGGATGAGTGAGTCAGCTTTGGAGGCGCTGCTGCTACTGGCAATTGAGGGGCCACCTCGGCAAGAATTCCCATTCGACCCACTGGCAGCAAGATCAAGTCCGCACCTGCAGCTACAGCACACACGCATCTATTGACTATAGTTGTTATACCTGGATAGTTGTTATACCTGGATAGTTGTTATACCTGGATAGTTGTTATACCTGGATAGTTGTTATAGTAGTTATAGTTGTTATAGTAGCTATAGTTGTTATAGTAGTTATATATAACTAGATATATAATGTTGTTATGTATAGTCAATAGATGCGTGTGTGTTGTAGCTGCAGGTGCGGACTTGTTCTTGCTGTCAGTGATTCGACCAGGCCCCTGGATCCCCCTAGTTTCCCCTCCCCCTTTCCTCTCCCACCTCCCCTTCCCCCTCCCCCTC